AATCCTTATCTTATGCTATTATGGTAGTTGTTCAAGGTCCACTTATGAGTGAGAACATGTGATACTCAGCTCTTCGTTTCTGTGAGAGATCACTCAGTATTATGAACTCTAATTCCATCCAAGTTGCTGTGAAGTTCATGATTTTGTTCTTCTTTATGGCTGCATAATATTCCATTGTGTATATGTACCACATTTTTTTTATCCATTCCTCTTTCGATGTGCAGCACAGTTGGTTCCGTGATCTTGCTATTGTGAACAATGCTGCGATAAACATACGTGTGCAGGTATCTTTTTCATAGAATGAACTGAGTTCTTCCAGGTACATTCCCAGTAGGTGATGTTGCAGTATTAATATCGGACAAAATATAGTTTAAGCTATCAAAAATTAAAAAGGGTAGGGAATGTCACTAAATAATGATAAAAGTTTCAATCCATCAGCAAGAGATATCCATCTTAAACATATATGCACCCAACATAGGAATGCCAACCTTTATAAAGCAGCTTCTAGGTAAACTATAAAATGATATTGACTCTAGCACTATCATCGCTGAGGACTTAAATACCCCACTAACAACCCTAGGTAGATCATTGAGGCAAAAAATCAATAAAGAGCTCTGGAGCATCAGCTTGACGCTTGACTAAATAGACTTATTAGATACTCACAGAACACTTCACCCAACAACCTCAGAATATACATTCTACTCATCATCACATGGAACATACTCCAAGATTGACCACATCCTCAGCCATAAATCAAGCATAAACAAATTCCATAAGACTGAAATGCTGCCATGCACCTTCTCAGACCACAGTGGAACAAAAATAAATATCAACACCAACAAAGCACGCCCAAAGCCTACAAAGGAATGGATACTAAGCAGCATGATGCTGAACACCTCCTGAGTCAACATGGAAACCAAAGAAGAAATTAAAAGAGTTTGAAAACAAATGAAAGTAAAGACACAGTCTACCAAAAGCTCTCGGATGCCATGAGAGCAGTACTGAGAAGGAAATTCATTTCTTTATGAACACACATCAAGCTCACAGGTTAACAGCCTGACAAATCACCTAAGGTAGCTGGAAAGACAAGACCACCAAAACTTAACTTCAGCAGAAGAATCCAGATCACCAAAGTAAAAGCCCAAATACGGGACAAAGAAGACAAAAATATCATAGAAAAAAATCAATGAAACAAAAGGCTGTTTATTTGAAAGGATAAACAAGACGGACGGACCCCTAGCCAGATTGACCAAGAAGAAGAGAGAAAAAGCCCAAGTGATCACAATCAGAAATGCGGAAGAACAAATCACAATAGACCATGAAGAAATACAAAACTAGATATGACTGATCCACGGGATGTCAGATCCAGTGGGTTGTTCAACTTCCACCAAGACAAATGGATAAAGAAACAAAAAAACTAAACTGACTGGTGACTGGTGACATCCTGAGTGTGATATCATAGTCATATCTAGATGGAGCATGTGCTTCTTAGGTTGATTATTTCTCTTTATAATCCTCTTTACTTCCTCCTGGTCCTGGGAAGTTCTCCCAATTTTCTTTCAACTATAATAGGTATTCTGTGGATTCTTGTAACTTCCCGATTATTTTAGTTATCTGCATTAAAATAAGAACTGGATTACAAATTATGTCGCATGAAAGGAGATAAACTACCAGGTAAAGGGTTAAAAGAAATTATATGACATAAACTTCAGACATTAGGCTTGTGTCTAAATGTTTAAGTCAACACAGCGAAAAAACCAGAAAACCCAAAGAGCATGGAAAGAATGAGAAACTAAGCTTGCCAAGCCAAATATGGAAAGGGGGTAACTGAAAACTGAGCTATTGAAAATGTAGTAAAAGAATTTAATGGACACCAGATGAGTTACCTATAGACTGAGCTGATTAGAAGCCTATAAACTAGAATACTAAGCACAATTAATGCAGTCAAATACTTTACAGAAAGCAATTAATAGAAAATGCAAATATATTTATACATACATGGAACTTAGATTGAGAAGAAATAAATAACATTTATTTGTTTTAATAGACTATGTAAAAAGAATGAAAGGCAATGTTCAAATAATTCATAATTTACAAATCTGAAAAATTGAATACAAGATGTGATTCCTTTAAAAGTTGAGCAGGATAATGTGTCAGAAAGGTAAACGTAAAAAAAAATACCTGGCTGGGCATGGTGGCTCAGCCTGTAATCCCAGCACTTTGGGAGTCTGAGGTGAGAGGATTGCCTGAGCCTAGGGGTTTGAGATCAGCCTGGGCAACTTGATGAGACCTCATCTCTACAATAAAACACAAAAAAACTGGCCAGCCATGGTGATGTGTCTCTGTAGTTCCAGCTACTTGGAAGGCTGAGGCGGAAGCATCGCCTAAGCCCAGCAGGTCGAGACTGTGGTGGCCGTGAGTGTGCCACTGCACTCCAGTCTATGCGACAAGAGTGAGACTCCAGCTCAAAAAAACCAAATAAATACCTAAGCAAATTAATCATCTTGGCTGTTGTGGACAGTGCAGCAAACGTGGGAGTGAAGTCACCACTTTGACATACGAAGTTTGCTTTCTTTTTTCTTTTTTTTTAGAAAGTAGGATTTATTGAGAGGACAGAGAAGCTCCCATAGTGGGTGGGGACCCGAAGGGGTTGCCTCAGATTTCGTTTTCTCTTTGCAATACCCAGTGGTGACGTTGCTGGATAAGATGGTAGTTCTATTTTCAACTTTATTTTAAAAATTGCATATTTGTGGATAATATTCCATTGTAAAACAGAATGAACTCCTACCACCTGCAACATGGATACACCTGGAGGAGGTTATGTTGAGTGGAATATACCAGGGGTTGAAAGACAAACCCCGCATGATCACACTCATATATTGATCTCCTAGAAGAATACAATGATACCAGAGGCTGAGGAGGGTAGGATGGGTGAGGATGGGGAGAGGTCTGTCAGTGGGTACAAAGTTACCATCCAAAAGGAACAATACATTCTTGCTTTCTATTACACAGTAGGATGACTATAGCTAATAATAATGTGTTGTATATTTTAAGATAGCTAGAAGATTAGATTTTGAATGTCATTAGCACATGTAAATAATACATTTTAAAAACAATTGATATGCTAATTACCCTGCTTGGATCATCATCTAACATAGACATGCATCGAAACATCACACTGTATCTCATAAATATGTGCAATCACTGTGCACCAATTCTAAATAAAATATATCTTTTTAAAAAGGAATAATGAGTCAGGCTCGGTGGCTCAGCCTGTAATCCCACGCCTTGGGAGGCTGAGGTGAGTGAATTGCCTGAGCCCGTGGATTTGGTGGGTTTT